TTGAATCATGTGTAGAGCATAAAAATGTCATAGATGATGTACAGTAGTGCCCTGTGATATCATACTAGAGACTGCAGTAACCATGAATTGGCCACTAGATGGAACCATCATTTTAATATCATGTCAAAGTCCTGTAGACACTCCTGTTCTCTGTTAAGGGTGGTACTATGGAGGAAATTGCTGTTTGTCTTATTTTTTTATTTTTGAGAAACATTTAGTTCTGTTATATTTCAACCTGTAATAAAGCCTTCACATTATGTGAGATCAATGTGTTACATCAGCTGTGGAATACATTTTCTGTGTCTGTAAGAAACAGCTTGAATAATAATTTTTTGGATCCCAGCTAGAAATATTTTTATTCTTCTGCTGTACTTTGAGATGTAAGGCATAAAATGATGCGCTTTAGATCAAGTGAAAATAAAGCATCATCAATGCTAAAAAATATTAAGAAACAGCACAAGCACCTTTTCATTCATTTCTAAGTTTTTTTAATCAGTAATTTAGTTTAATTGTGATTGAGTCCTCTAGCATCTAAATGTTTTGCTGAGACAGCTGGGTCTCCCAGAGTAAAATGTTTGTCTGGAGTTCTCTTGTGTTCTCTAATGTATTTCAGGATTCATTTCCATCTAATTCCTTATTATCGCTCTGATGATTGTGGTTTTGCAGTCTGCTTAGAAAACAACAGGCCTTGGAAAAAACCCCAAAGCAGGAAATTAAAAGGCAAGTATTAACAGAACAGTCACAACACCTGTTGTGTTGCTGATTTCTCCTTCAGCACATGGTACACAGTCAAAGCAGCAGACAGGCCTTCCCTTCTGAACAGCCTTCCGAGTGCCTGGAGGACAGCTCTCACTGCACACTGACACAGGCACCTGGGGAATGAGAGGAATTAAGTCTCACTCTTATTATATTGCAATTATGTGAGCTCCAACAGTTTAAAAAATAGTGCTACAAAGATTTGCAGTGTAAACATCTAATCCATTCTATTTTGCATTTTTCATATTATAGGGAATATCGTGTTGCACTTGCACAACTCAATTGCAGTTGTGTTGTTTGTGTGTATCAGAATCAAACTACCTAATACTATATGTTACAGGGTACCATTATATTATTGTGTTGATTTACATTCTTTTAATAATTGTATTAAATTACATTTGCCATGAATTGAGTTAATAAGGTTTGGCCTCACAAGCACTTGTGTTCACATAGAACATATTTTTGTGCCTTTGTCATGAGCAAAATCTATTCAACTTACTAAACTGATGGTGACAGAATCTAATGGTTCACCTGAAACCTTAAAGAGATGTATATTGTATGCTTACGTATAATTACCAAAAAATGTTTCAATTTAAATATCCAAAATCAAGAACACAGAACTGTAGTCTTTTTGATTCTAAATCAAGCAGCAGCAAATTGCCGTGAAACTCAGCCTTACCTTGTGTGTGTTGTGTACCCAGACAGTGCTGACATTGTTTAAGATTAACTGCTGGCCTTCTGGCAAAGAGGCATCATAGAAGCCGACAGTGACAAATTCAATCCTGCCATCTTTATTCATCTGCCAGTTTAGCAAGTCAT